GAAACTTGGTTGGTCCTAAAGGTGCCACTGGACTCAGACTTTGTCCTGATGCTTCAGACCAACATGGCTGCCTACCTGTCCCCATTATCAAGATGGCTCTGAAGCATGAGTATGTGCCGCTGAAAACGGTACACTGAAATCTGTGTGGTCTTGCCTGGTTAGGGCCCAGGTGGTACTCTGGGATCAGGGGAGGTGCGCACTGCCCGCTTTCCTCCCCATTCCCGCTGAGAGTTTGCACTTCTTCAGTGATAGTTCAGTGAGATTTCGCTATAGAACAAATCTATGAGCAGATCCGCGTTTCTTTCATTTATACCCTGCTTTTCTCTCCAGCGGGGGCTCGAAGCTGCTTACATCCTTCTCTCCTTCGTTTTATCCTCACAACAACCCTGGGGGGTAGGCTACACCAAGAGTGTGTGATTGGCCCCAGGTCGTTCAGTGAGCTTCCATGGCAGAGGAAGGATTTGAGCCTGGGCCTCCCAGGTCCCGGTCCGACCCTCTAACCGCTAAACCACACTGCCTTATGGAAGTGTAAATGCAGCCGGTTTGGGAATCCGAAGTAATTACTTCTGTTCTTTCAAGCTGCACCGACTGTTTGTTTTTTTTAATGCAGAATTTGCAGCCCATTCTGCAAGAGAGCCACAGGGTTTAGCTCAACGTGTTCAGAAGCAATCTGCAGGAAAAGCGGTGGTTCAGCCCTAGCAGAACTAGATGTCACTACCAAAGAATTCCACGGAGAATGTGAACAGGAAGGCAGCTAAGGATCGGAAAGTGTGAGCGCAGGGCCGGCTCGCTCACTAGGTGAACTAGGCACTCGCCTAGAGCGCGCCGGCCCTTAGGGGCACCAAACTGGCATACACACACCCCGTCCTGGTTCAGCTGCAAACACTACTGAGTTTTAAACATGTTATGATCTTTCTGATGATACAAACCCCAATTCCACCAAAGCACTTAGCCCTCTGGGCACAGAAGGGTCACTCAGCTGAGTCAAAGAAGAATCTAAATAGGGGGGCTATTACATAAGGACACTCAAATTGCAACTGACTTATGGCAACCCCAGCAAGGAACTGTCAAGGCAAGTGAGCAATGTTCCCTCTAAGCTGTGGAGGCTTGTGAGCAAAAATTCTACTTTGTGGGCTACTGGCATTCAAGTTCTGAGTGAGCGATTTGGCTACTGCATAAATTAGTTTGCTCTGGAGCTGTCCTCCCTGAGCTAAGACAAAAATGTGTGAGCCGGAGGCTAACAAACTGTGAGCTAGCTCACACTAACTCAGCTTAGAGGGAACACTGCAAGTGAGAAGCAGAGGTTGTCTGCGACTGCGAATGCCTTTCTTTGCAGAGTCTTCCTTGGTGGAAGCCAAATGTGCAAAGCAGGCAAAGTTACAAAAGCAAAAGTGAGTGTTAAGAGCAATGTTCCCTCTAAGCTGTGGAGTCCTGTGAGCAAAAATTCTACTTTGTGAGCACCTGGCATTCAAGTTGTGAGTGAGCGATTTGGCTCCTGCATCAAGAAGTTTGCTCTGGAGCCCTCCTCCCTGAGCTGATACAGAAATATCTGAGCCGGAGGCTAAAGAACTGTGAGCCAGCTCACACTAACTCAGCTTAGAGGGAACCCTGGTTAAGAGCATGGGTGCCAGGGGAACGGGAGGTCCGGGGTACAGATCCAATTAATGGGTCCGAGCCATGGTGGGTGCATGGGGGGGGCGCCAGAAGGGATCCTTGCCTAGGGTGCAAAATAAGCTGTAGCGTAGCACAAAACAATCTGTTTCTCCCTTCCTTCCTTCCTTTCAAAATCAGGAATTGGAAACTATAGATCGGAACGTCCGGAGGGAAAGCCGTAGCGAGAGTCAGTTATTTTATTTATTTCCCCGAGAAAACAATCCCATCTCTCCAAGGCAAAAGCGGATTAAAAGATTAGAGGTTCATTAAAATACTCGACTGGCATTCCCCGCCTTCCACAACAAATGTGAAAGTATCGTGTCCATTTCCTCTCCTCCCCCTCCTGGTTTAGAAAGCATAACCGGACAAGGGTCTCTTTAACCAAGTTAAATTTGAGTCCTGTCGCCCCTTGGGGACCAATGAGATTTGCAGGGTATGCGCTCCAACGTCAACGCTCCCATCGTCAGATTCCGCGTCGGTGCTTAAAAAGAAAAAGCTCATCTTCCACTGTTTGCATTTTGTAACCCAGATTCTTATATCTGCATATATATATATATTAAATAGAATTAAAGTCTGCACCGTGCATAGAAACTGCTTGGAGGGGAGACTGTGTATGTTTTGCACACAGACGGAGCTTAGAGCTATTTTTCATTCTTTGACGTCTGCCCTGTTTCTATGGTAGGCATAGATTCTTGGATGTCCTGGTAGAATCAATGCAGTCTGTTTGTCAGAGAGCCAGTTTGGTGTAGCGGTTAAGTGCACGGACTCTAATTTGGGAGAGCCGGGTTTGATTCCCCACTCCTCCACATGCAGCTGCTGGATGACCTTGGGCAAGCCAAAGTTCTGTCAGCGCTGTCCTTGAAAAAGAGCAGTTTCTGTCAGAGCTCTCTCAGCCCCACCTCCCTCACAGGGTGTCTGTTGTGGGGAGGGGAAGGGAAAGGAGTTTGTAAGCCACTCTGAGACACCTTTGGGTAGTGAAGGGCCGGGGTATAAATCCAATCTCTTCTCCTCCTCCTCCTCTTCTTCTTCTATCAGAGCTCTCTCAGCCCCGCCTACCTCACAGGGTGTCTGTTGTGGGGAGGGGAAGGGAAAGGAGTTTGTCAGCCACTCTGAGACCCCTTTGGGTAGTGAAGGGCGGGGTATAAATCCAATCTCTTCCTCTTCTTCATCTTCTGTACATCCCTGTCTCTTGGGAGGGTTTTTTGTAATACCAGATCTGACAAAGGACGCTTTGATTCCCAAAAGCTTATACCCCCAAAATCTTGATGGGTCGCCGTGTTTGTCTGTCTGTAGCAGTAGAAAAGAGCAAGAGTTCCAGTAGCATCTTAAAGACTAACAAAATGTGTGGCAGGGGAGGAGTTGTCGTGAGTCACCGCTCAGTACCTGAAGAAGTGAGCCGTGACTCACGAAAGCTCCTGCCCTGGTGCAAGTGCTGTTAGTCTTTAAGGTGCAACAAGTAATGGAAAATTGTTGCAAACGTGCATACAAGTAAATGACAATGATATAAGCACTTAAACTTGTGATGCTCTCATGTTGTTTTAATTCTTGTTTCCAGCATTGAAGCGCCAAACCAACACAATAGTGGCGTGGAGACGAGCGGATTACCAACCTCTCGAGTAACACCATTGGTTTCGATACAATTCTTTGTTAAAATCTCCTATACAAGAATAACAATGAATCAATATCTTTTCTAAGATAAAGGACTAACAATTCTGGTGGAGTATGTAATAATACCAAGACTTAACATACAATCTTCCATGGTCTTCATATATTACTCTTCACAAAATGGAAATCCTAAATCCTACAATAAAACAATGTATAAAAGTCTCAATATTTTGTGGTCATTTTTAAGAGCATACATCTCAATGCATAATAAAGACCCTTTTTCAAAATAACTTTCACAAAGCAGTTTTCAAATATAGAAATACAATAACAAACATATGCCTTTCCAGTACATAGATCGAAAACCCCCAAAATCTTGATGGGTAGCCGTGATTGTCTGTCTGTAGCAGTAGAAAAGAGCAAGAGTTCCGTAGCATCTTAAAGACTAACAAAATGTGTGGCAGGGGAGGAGTTGTCGTGAGTCACCGCTCAGTATCTGAAGAAGTGAGCCGTGACTCACGAAAGCTCCTGCCCTGGTGCAAATGCTGTGAGTCTTTGAGGTGCTACTGGAACTCTTGCTCTTTTTTACTTCCCCCAAATATTGTTGGTCTCTCAGGTACTAACTGGGCTCGAATCCAGCTCTTCTAGTGCGGACCAATGTGGCTACCCTCCCGAGGCCGTAATACCACAACGATCTGTTTCTTTTTGTTGGGAACGGGATATTGCTCTTTGCGGAGTGTCAGGCGTATGGCCTGGATGTGTCTCATTAGGACTGGTGGTTTAGGAAGTGGCGGAGGAGAATTGAACCATGCATCTAGCAGAGATAAATCAGATCTGGATTCACTCTCCTTTGTGAACCCCCTTGCTAACTTGTTTGGAGTCGCTCTCCTTTCCAGACATGGAACCACCAGCCTTAAGCAGCTCATTCTTGTTCTGAGATCCTCATTTAAAAAATGTGGGAGCAACAATTCGCGTCCCTCAACAGGAATGGGGGGGGGGTGACACGACAGAGCTGTGAAATCATTCCATCTTGCCTTGACTCCGCCGGCCAGGCGATGCCTTTAAATACACCTTATCCAACAATGAGTTGAAACATGTCACATTTTCATCGCACCTTGAGTCTGCTAAAAAACCGCTCCTTTGAAAAGGAAGGGGAAAGGGGGGTTGGGATTCACAACGTTCTCTCTAAGCTGAGTCCGTGTGAGCTAGCTCACAGCTTTTTAGCCTCCGGATCACACATTTTTGTCCGCTCAGGGAGGATGGCTCCAGAGCAGAGTTCCCTCTAAGCTGAGTTAGTGTGAGCTAGCTCACAGTTTCTTAGCCTCTGGCTCACACCTTTTTGTCTTCGCTCAGGAAGGGATGGCTCCAGAACAAACTCATTTATGCAGTAGCCAAGTGGCTCACTCACAGCTTTAATGCCAGTGGCTCACAAAGTAGAATTTTTGCTCACAAGATTGCACAGCTTAGAGGGAACATGGCTCCAGAGCAGACTGATTTATGCAGCAGCCAAATCGCTCGCTCACAACTTTTAATGCCGGTAGCTCGCAGAGTAGAATTTTTGCTCACAAGACTCCACAGCTTAGAGGGAGCACTGGTTGGGAAACCTTTTCTTTTCTCCAGCTCCCTTTTCTCAGTCTACTGGGGTGCAAGGCCATATGAGACTAGCTTTGCGGGAGGCGCATCCCAAAGAGTCCCAATCTACCCCCAAAGGCAACAAGGTTCTCCAGCCTCACTCAAGTACTCACTTTTCCTCCACCAGCTGCTTCTGGTACTCTTCGTACTCCTCCCTCGTCATTCCGTGGGCCTCCGCCGGGGTCTTCTCGCTCTCCCCTTTCTCCTCTCCTCCTCCGAGACCCCCCGTCAGGTTCTTCAGCTGCCCACCCACCACCGACTTCACCATGAAAGCCATGCTGCCCGGGGTGCACGCGGGAGGTGGGGAAGAGGGTTTCTGTGCGGTGGCAGGAGAACCGAGACGCGGAGCGGAGGCAGAGAGGGTTAGGCGGCTGGTCTGAGCTCAGCTGCCGATCGGGTTTTTAAAGCAGCATCTTCTCCCGGGGCGGATGCGCCTCTTGGCCGGTTCCCATCGATGCGCCGGGTCGGGAGGGAGAGAATTCGTCCGGGGGTTTGGTGGGCTTCAGCACCGACAGGCTGTGGACAGCTCCGAAGGGCTCAATTAGTCTCGCCTTCCCCCGTGGACTTGATGGGGGCTCCGTTTCAGCACCACGACGCGCGGACAGCAACCCACCGCCCGGACAAGCGTCTCGGGTTCCGACAGATCCAACCCCGAGCGGGATTCGACCCTCCCAGTCCGCCGTCGCCTCCAGAGAGCCCGGGCTGGTCTGACCTCGCTTCCTAAGCGTGACAGTTTAACTCTGCCTGCCGCTCCCGCCCCTCCTCTCTTCCTGGCTCCGCCTTCTTTCCTTCTTCCCCTGTTTCCCAAAGGATTAAACTGTTTACTGGAGTAGAATTGCACTGGCACACACCCCTCTCCGCAGACTCCCCTTTGGCCCTTGTTCATCTGCAAGGCAGAGGAGAAGACCCTCTCTGTTGGGTACATGTGTACGCATGAGCCAGAGGCTGCTACCACGGGGAAGGTTTTGCTGCACGCCCAATGGAATGAATTAATTCGGGTTTCCCCCCCCCTCTGAAGCCTTTGCTTCCAAACAGATGCGCTTTCTCTGGCCGAGGGAGTTCCCGCACGGAGCTGCTGTGCTGTAAATGTCCTGATTTCCAGGTTTCCCCTGCTCTCAATAGGCTCTTTCCAAGCCCTGCTGTACTCTGCTCTTTGGGGGGAAGAATATAGGGTGAGCATTGGATGGCCCAGGGTAGCCCGATCCTGTTGGGTCTTGGAAGCTAAGCAGGGTCAACCCCAGTTCATACTTAGATAGGAGACCGCCAAGGAGATCCGGGCTCACTACTTAGAGTAAGGCAAGACACTGGCAAACTGCCTCTGTCTGTCTGCCCCAACCTCGATGGCCCAGACTATCCCAATTTCATCAGATCGTGGAAGCTAAGTCCAGAGTCGCTACACAGAGGCAGGCAATGGCAATCCACCAGTTTGGTGTAGTGGTTAGGGGCGTGGACTCTAATCTAGGAGAACCGGGTTTGATTCCCCCCCCCAGCTCCACATGCAGCTGCGGGTGTGACCTTGGGTCAGTCACAAGCTTTCTCAGAGCTGTTCTGGAAAGAGCAGTTTCTCTCAGAGCTCTCTCAGCCCCACCTACCTCCCAGGGTGTCTGTTCTGGGGAGGGGAAGGGGAAGGAGTTTGTAAGTGTCAGCTATGCTGCCATGGGGGTTGGGGAGTTCATTCTGTGTCTTGGTAATTGCATTCCTGTCCCTGCTGTTCTGCCTGTGCCGCAACGCTTATCTCTACAGATGTGCAGGAGGATGTTATGTTGGAAGTTGCATTGTCTGGAAGTCTCCTATGTACCGTGAGAGACTATCGCTTCCCAGCTTTCGCCACC